TCCTTTGACTTGATCACCTCAGTCAGGAGTCAGGATGCCTCCCATACTAAGGCCCAGTGGGGACTCAGAGGGCTGTGAGGCTGCTGTCCAGCTAGGAGAGACCCAAGGTCCAGTAGCCGGTCAGTTTTACAGGAAAACACTGCACTGGGGAAGGAGGAAAAGCATAGGGAGCATCCTGAGCTCCCCAGCTCTCACCCTCTTTCATCCTGGACCCTGGCAGTCCCTGGTCTTTCCAGGCCTGAACATGTTCCCAATCACCCCTCAGGAAGAAGCAGTGGTAGAAACTGCGGCTTTGACACAGGAGCCAGGTACAACCATCAGGCAGCTCCCTCTGTGATATAACCACCAGGAAAATAAGGTCACAGTGGACTAGTGAATTCTTCAGAATTCTCCACAAAATGTGTGTCTTGGCCAGGATGTTTATTTTCCTGTGAGCATACTGGGCTAATATAAAAAGTGAAGTGTATCTGACAGAATGGTAACATTTCCTGAGGCAGGAAGAGAGCAGAGGGCAGAGAGCAAACATTTACTGAGTGCTTACTTTTAGCTCAGTTTTCTAAATGTCTTGTTCACTGAATCCTATTGTCAACTCCATCATATAGTTTAAAAAGGAGACTCAAAGACTAAACAAATGTCCCCTAGTACCATTTAAATATAAAAGTGCATGACTTGAACCCCTGTTCACTGGCTGCAGAGCCAAAGGTCTGTCTACATTTGATTTTTATCTAAGTCTGTTCCCCAGATGAGAACACAATCTGGGATGGATGCCCGATTTATTTCCAAAGGAGAGAATCACCACAGTTTGGGGAAACAATGATTAAATATTTAGCAGCATAAGAAGGTCACACAGAAGGGTCTCACGGTGACACCAGCCAGTCTCACGGTGACACCAGCAAGGCTGTCACTATGACAACCTGGGATTTGGACTAGGGCTTCACCACCTCAGAGCAGCCCTTTGGCCCTACAGCGTTAGAGTAGGGGAGGAAAGGGTGGGTTGAGGAGCAGAAGGAAGCTGTAGCTGTGCCCACAAGTCCTGTGGCTTCCCCACGTGGAAAGCCTGGTGGGGATTTGACAACTTTGAGGCTCAGGACTCTGCTGCAAGGAGGGTGCAAAAGAAGTTGTACAACAAGCAGGCGCTGCCTGAAGGCGTCTCAGGACCTGTGAGCACCCTGAGCATTACAAAGAGAATTCACTAGAGGGCAGCCGCGGTCCCTCCCAGCCAGAGCAGTGCATCAGCAGGTGGTAAACATGTTCTCGTTAACTACAAGTTACGTGGTCAGGTGCAATAAATATTTGCTGAATCTTGTAGTTAAGTAAAAATAAAATAATCTGGAGGAAGTTGCTACAGAAAGAATGGAACTAAGGTTCCCGCTTGCACACCAAGCCCTAAGCTCACCTCCTTTCTGCATCACTTAGCTCTGGAGATCCCCAGGGTGGTTATCACTGTACTGACCTTGAAGATGAGGAGCAGGTGTAACGCCAGCAAGGCACAGAGCAGGTTCTCTATGATCCTGGCAGACAGGTAAAGGAGAGTCCTGGAGCCCTCGGAGGCTTTTCAGGTTTTATTGAGCTTTTTACAGCATTTGTAGTGCAGCGACCAGGTACACGGCAGGCAAGTGGACCTGGGGACTGGGAGGCTGGCAGGCCTCCCAGCCCTCAGCGAATCTACACTCTTTCTGGGCTTTCCTATGTTCTGTCATGGTGTCACCACTGTCTCTGCTTCTGCTACTGTGCTTTCTGCTTCTTTGCGGCTTCTACCACTGCTGACGCCCTGTGATGCCACCCTTACATGCCCAGTCTCTCAACCCAGGTGCGCCCACTTACACATGTCCGCACCTTACTCCAGGTGTCCGCCATCAGGCACGCATGCAAGCCCACAGTGTCTATCATAAATACTAACGGTGAGGGTGGAAAATCCTGACAATTTTCACTTAGCCTACAGCTGGTTAAGCACCTGTGGCCATCAGCTGGGGCCTCCAGCTGCAAAGGTCCTGCACACTGGTGCTTCTCCACAACCCACTCCCTGGGAAGCAGAGGCTAGCTCGCACTGAGGCCTCACTAGTGAGAGACCAGCCCACAGAACCCGGGGCTGGTCTTTTCTTTAGTTTGTTCATCTGCACATGCCCAGTTTTTTGGAGTGGGACTACTAACAAGCAATAAAAAAAGCTTTGTGTAGCTTCTTTACCAAAAGTAATTATTCATTCTCTTAAATGAAACAGACTGGGTTTAGAAAGATTTTAATTAATGCAATGTTAACAGGACAGTGAAAAGTCAACAGTTAAAAACCTTGCTTTCATCTGACTACTTTATGCTTTTTTTAAACCAACCGATCCCAGCACAAAGATGTCTAGCTCTAAAGGTAAGTTAGCACTCTCTGCGAATTTTAGAGACCTCTTTCTTTGTTGATTCCAGAATGGAACGTGTTGAAATAACAAAATGTTCCTTAGAGAAAAACAAGACTTGTCTGAGCCAATGAGAAGCACTGAGAAGCACTGGTCTTAAGGAGTGATAGAAAGAGGCTCTTAGACGAACTGGCATTGTAGGCGCTGAAGAGAAGGCCTGGGTTGGGAGCAATGGAAGGAAGAAGTAAAATAGAAATTGGGCAGGAGAGTCCTGATGGGTTGCCATGTCCTCTAGAGGTTTGGTTCGGAGACTTAGAGGTGAGAGCTGCAGCTAGAACAGTGCTTAGCAGGAGCGGCGATGCCTGATCCAAGGTAAGCATGTGAAGGAGGTTTTGGGAAATAGTTTATGTGATCATCACTGCAGGGGTATCATGGCATGGGATTAATGGGCTTAGGAGTTACACCCAAGAGTTTCTAACTCTCACGTTAATTCACAGGATTGAACAAAACAAAGCCCTTAAAAAGCATCGTAACATATGATACTTCTCACCTGTGAGAAGAGCTGCCACTCCTGACAGGAAGCTGGACCTGGGCCCTCCATCTCACCCCAGAGAGCCCCATGACTGCGCCTCACTTCAGTGGGGGTGCTGCCTCACAGTTCATAATGCCCTCCACCCCAAATTCAAAGTAAAGTAATGTCAGCCACAAAATGATTGTAAAGAACCTAACAGAACTTCCAGCGAGGACTACTAATACGTCTTTGAAACATCAAGTTTTAAATTCTATCCGTGAATGTTTAGGAGCTCTTACTAAATGCCTGCCCCTCCCCCACCTCCCAGGCGGCCAGTCCAGCTCACTATTTCCTGAGGCTATCTGTGAGCACAGACGCCTTGGACTTATCCTTGTCCTCCTCTCCACTGGCTGCGGGCGCTGGGAGGCATCGCCGGATGGGGCGCCGTTACTAGCAGGGTCAGGACCTCGTGCATTTCTGTTGATAAGTGGACACCTGCCCCTCTGTCCTCTTGTTTGGGGGCTCTGCTCTCCACCTTGAAGAGGAGCATCTGCGTATTTCATGAATATGAAATGGAGTGGGCTGTGGTGGAGGTGGGGAGGAGAGCCTCTGCTCAGACCACGAGAGCCTGAGTTCCGGGTCTCTGCGGCTGTCGGTTTGCAGCGAGCTGTCCACCAGCACCGTCCCATGTCTGCCCCCGGAGCCAGCAGAGCTCAGAGGAGACCAGAGCCACATGGGTCAGCCTGACTCCTTAGCAAGCTGACCAGACCCGGAGTTGCAGGGGTCCCTGCTCTCAGCAGGCGGTCCAGAGTCCACTTGGCAAGGAATTGAGCAAGGTGGGGGTTCTGTTGGACATGGAGCTCCAGACAACAGCCACTCTAACCTCTGACTGAGGAGAGATGGGGGAGAGGGAGTGAAGCCTGGATGTCAGCTTCCTGGGAAGCCACATCAGCCAGATGACAATCAGCATTAGCATCAGAACACCCTGATGAAAGAAAGGAAATAAGAGTTGAATCCCTGCATGAAAAGTAGATTATTCACTGTCAGGCTGCACCATGGAACAAGACACAAACAGCGGCCATGCACAGGCCATGCCACTTCCAAACAGTGGACATAGTGTTCTGGCAGCCTTTCGGAGAGCTGCGCACCACAGCCAGCGTAGGCACAGAGTGGGGAGAGGGAAGAGAGGAAGGAAGTGGACGGGAGGAGTGTGCAGAGAGAAGGAAGAAAGGAAAGAAAGACGTGGGAGGGAGGGGAGGGAGACAGGAGACAGAAGCCAGGAAGGAGAAAGAGGCTGAGCCACCAGCCCTAAGTAAGTAAAACGACCTCTCTGAGCTTGCTTTGGTTCCAGCATCAGGAAGACAGGCAGTTGTGAAGGTGCAGTGAGAGCATGTTGGTAAACAACTTGGTGCAGACCAATAACAACTGATGGCCCATGCACGTGCTGCCGTCCAGGCTTCCACCCCACCCAGGGCCGGGGGAGTGTGTGTGGACCATGAAATAGGGAGGGGGGAATGCTCACAGATGAGAGTGGAGCCTGCTAGTCCTGTTGGTAGAGACCATCAAGACCTAAGCATTGCCTCTGTTCTGGATGCTTTAGGATCTCTGGTGCCCTGGAAGATCACAGAGCAGGTCACGCCACACATCACTCGCTCTACAAGGACAACTTCATTAGTAATTACCAGGGCCTCTTTGGCAAGACTGACATGCCACTTGATAGCCCTGAGCTTATGTGCCCATCCTCCACTGTGCTCTAGGACAGGCTGTGACACAACTCCCTGGGCCTGACAGGATCTGTGCAGCAGTGTCCTGGGAGACCCCCTCTCATAAGGCCTATGTTCCTGAAAGACTTGACTCCCTGGCAACGGTCACCACTCAGACACCATGTCTCACGTGAACTAGGCCCTGCTGATCATTCCTGGGGTGCACCACTGTGCACCATCTCATCCCACCGAAGAAACTTCCCCCAAGAGTTGAAACAATCGCTCTCCCTACCTTTATGGAGGCACAGGGTAGGTAGGACTAAGGGAGAACCCGGCTCCTACTCTGGCTGGAAAGGGCAGCCTGTGTGGGCCGCGTGCCCCACCCTGGGCTCATGGGAGGGAGTCCCTGGGGGTGGAAGGCCTTCCCCACAGAGGCCAGCTTACCTTGGTGAAGGTCAGGCAGTCCTTGTCCTGGTCTCTGTCCTTCATCTCGAAATCATAAAGTGCTTTGCCCTGGGGCGGGGCCTGTGGCAAGGGCCTCATGCACTGTACGTAGCTGGCAGGCAGAAAGCCGTGCACGCCATGCAATTCCCCGTGGAACCAGTGGTCGTCCACCCTGCGCCGCAGGATGATCACATCACCCTTGCTGAACTTGAGGTCACCAGGCTCCTTCCCCTCATAGCTGTAGAGGGCTTTGCCATAGGGAAGCTGCGAGAGATTCTGAAAGCAAAATATAACACCCGGTTACTTGGGGTGACCTTCCTGCCTCCCGGATGACCTACCTGTGCAGGTGACAGGCTCCACATCTAGTGTGCACTCAGGATGCCCTGGAGTGGAGGCGTTTCAAAGGAACACACACTGTGCCAGAGGAAGATGCCAGCTAGCATACTTGTCTAGACCAGAGGGCCCCCATATGGGTAATTCTCCCTCAAAAAGAGTCTGTGAGTAGCTGCCAGCACTGTCCTAGATCTTCCACTTGGACTAAGTCACTCTGGGCTGAAAAGGGACTCTGAAACAGGCGCTAAATTATTTTACTTACAGGTGAGGAAACTGAGCCATGGAGTGAGAAGGCAAAATTCACACTCAGTGGGCTGGCTCTAGAAAGTTCCTAACCACAAGTCTGAATTGTCCTGCATTGAGTGCTACTTCTAGTCGCCAGATTTCCAAGAATTATTATCCATAAAATTATCTTTACTTCATTTACTGAATATTCACAGAAACCAGGAACAAGGGTTTTTAAGTTGAGGAGACAGGACCACATTGATATGCTACACCCTTCTCTGTCAGTGGTCTCACAATTTGGCCAATACCCGAGGTGTTCAGATGAGAGGGACAGTCAAGTTGTGGAAATATGGGCTGTCCCCAGGACCCCTGGTGCTAGTTCTCAGGAGTTCCCAGCAATCCCTGCCTGCTGCTTAGTTGTCAAGACGCCTGACAACGACACAGAGCTTTTTGACGAATACAGCAGTGTGGTCATGAAATACTATTTCAAGAGCTTAAAACAGTATGCTCTTCATTTCATATGATGCTCCCGTCATCCTGCCAAAGGTTAGCTAACCCATCTAAATGTGATCTGCCATCTTTGGTCTCAAACAGTGACTAGCTCTGGATTCCAAACAGAATTCTTGGCAAGCAATAAGGAATCTGCCAGAGTACCCTGAATCATGATTTGACATTCTAACTTCCTGGTCTCCTTTAACTTAACTAGACCTATTTCAGAAAGAACAGTGATCACCTGGGTTCCTTTTCTTTATGGGTGGGCACCACTGCTCAAATGAGTAAGCTGGGCCAAGGCCAGCTCTGAGCCAGAGGAAAACCAAACACAAACCTTCCTGTGTCAATACCCAACAATTTTCCTAACAGAAGCCACATTTTCTCACCAAGGCTGCCTATGCCAAGGATTTCTTTAGTATTCGAATCAATCAATAGAGCACAAAAGCCTGAGGCAGTAGTACATGGAAAAGCCTTTGTAGAGGATTTAATAGCATGTCCACAGCTCAATTGCTCTGCATTTACGTTTCAGCAATGTCAAATGATAGCAGTTAAGAGAGAACCTGTTGGCAAATTGACAAATAGCCATCACTAGCCAATTAAATGGCAACACCATAGACCTTTTTGTTACAGAACTTGATGAGGAAAAAAAATCAGTTTGCTTCCAATAACACCATCCTGACTAACTTTACTATAGACACAATAGACTGTAAAGGGTTCCATTTCAGAGAGAAGCAAATGGGTAATTTGCAATGCAATTACTGTGATTAGAAAAGATTAGAAGGGCTGTTGGCTATGGGCCACCAGAAGAATTCCACTGCAACCAGGACCCCAGCCAGTTCTTAGCCAGGACATTTTGTCCCCTGGGGCTCATCTGGCAAAGTGTGAAAATATTTTTTGGTTGTCACCACTGGGATGGGGGGTGCTATTGATACCTAATGAGTAGAAGCCAGGGAAGCTACTAACTCTCCACAATGCATGGGACAGCCCCCACCACACAGTCACCTCACCTGGAATGTCACTCTGCCACAACCTGCTTGATTAAATTTACCAAAACCAAAAAAACACAAAAAACAAACAAACAAAAAACCCACAGCACAACTTTCTTCTAACTGAACTTAGTCTAAGACAACTTTAAATATTAAATCTCACTATGAGAGTAGTTCATTACTAACTCTGCCTACCTTACTCAACTGTGCAATCCCTGCCTGCTGCTTAGCTGGCACCCTTATCATCCCGGTGCCCATCCTGTCCCTCCACCTCAGCATTTGTCCTCAGCTCTCATGGACTCCACCTCCACGCACACGTCCTTCATCATTCCTACCTCAGTTATCACAAACCTCCACCAATGCCCAGGTTCTGGCAACCAAGAATGCTGCTCTGCACCCACTGCCCCACTGCTTAACTGCCTGCAGCCCTGGGGAGGGATACCCCAAGCTCCAAAGCATGGCATTAAGGCTTCTGCCACTGGCTTCAGCACACCTTCCTGCGCCCAGGCCCATCTAAAGTGGTCAGTATCCTCACTCACAAAGATCATGTGCTGTGCCTCCCCTGGTGGTGCAGGCGGTTGAGTGCAGCGCTGTGAAGCTGTCTGCAGCCTCTGAAGCACGGGTTCGATCCCGGCCGGCCAGTGAGAGTCCCACATGGCCACGGCAGACCTCTCCTGTCACACCTGCTGCGCCCCTCAGCAGTGTATTTCGTCAGTCTGCCTGTTCTGTTCCCTGCTCTGTCTCTGGTGAATCCTCTCACCCTCCCATGCATCTGGCCTGTACCCCGATTCTTGTATAAATAAATAAATAAATCTTAAAAAAAAAACAAAGATCACGTGCCGTTGGCACTTCCAGGCCTTGCTACTCCCTGTCCTGCCCTCTCCCTCACTCCCTAACCCACAACATCCAGGCTGGGCTGAGGGTCCCGTTCCATCACTCCCCACCACCACCACAACCACCACCACTGCATTAGCCCTTGCTTAACCAAAGCCCAGGGAATAGCACTGTAATGTGTTTGCCTGGCAATCCCAGAACCGAGGAAAGTTTCTGTACCTAGCAGGTGCTTTATGATGCTTGTTAATTCAAATGAGCTCAAGTTACCCCTGATGACATGAGGAAGAGGAGAGTTAGGATAACAGATCCGACTCTGCAACCTCTGTCACCCACCATACCTCCCAGACCCCCATGACAAGGCTGCCCCCCACGACAAGGGTGCCTTCCGGCTCCCCATGAGGAGCTAGAAAGCAGTTGTCCTCAAGTGCAAACCAGGGCAGGAGAGGGCCCTGATGCCTTCTGGAGTAGCAAAGCAGGGGCAGGAGTGGATCTAGCAGATGGCATACCCCTTCACCATGGCTACATAGTCAGCGAGAAGGTCAGAGCACACATCCCTGCTCCAACTATGCCTGGTCTGGCGGCCAAGCTCTGGTCTACTCTTGTTCGGGGCAAGTCTAAGTCAGAGGAGGGAGAAAGGCCTGACATCACCCCACCCCAGACACCAAGATCAGCACTTGATGGAGCAAAATTGATATGGCACATACACCCTTATAAAAATGTGCAGGGCACATTTCTAAGGACAAAAAAACCCCAAAAGTCAGGATGCTACAGAGCAGCAGTTTATTCAGGCAGTAAGAGCAGTCAGAACCTGGCTCTAGCTGTTAGGAAAAGCTTGGAAGGGACGTCTCTCAGCATGCCCCATGTCTTTCATCTTCAAAGTCCTTTATAAGATTGATTAATTCATCTGTGACAAGGGCCTACAGGCAAGAGAACACTAGGGAAAAGGTACCAACCAAGGGGATCTCTGAAATTCCAGCCTTTCAGCCCAGGTCAAAGAAACCAATCAGGGTTCTCTGCAGACATTTGCAGACTATTGCTCATTGCCTCTCTCACTTCTTGTATGCTCCCTTTGAAGGAATTGTAGTCAAACACTGTTGTTATATGGGTTGAAGACATTAGGAAAAAGAAATAAAAGGAAGAGGAGAAATACATCTGGGATGCCTATAGGATAATTAACACCAACCACGCCTGCAAGGCATTAATAATAATTAAAACTTATAATGTCAATTTCATGGCTCATTACTCAGATACAGCACACAAATCTTACTACAGGCTTAATGTCCTACCCCGTGGAGACTTGGGTGCTCATGCATACACAGTGCTGTCTCCATTTTTTATGGGGATCAACCCAGCAGCTGCTTTGACAAATGTGCCGCCATTTCCCCATGCACTAGCTGCCAGAAGGGCTCTAAGTGGAGCTGGCTGCCCCACGAGGGAAGGCAGGCACCACAGCCAGCCTAGAGCACAGTGCAGGATTGGGGGAGGGGGTTGGGGCCTGGCTTGGTAATGGGTCTCACTCCTTCAGATCTCCCAACAAGCTGGGGTGAAAAGTACTGAAGAAATGCACGTGTCTTTCAGACTCTGAGAACTTGATCTGCTCTCCCACTTTCAGCGCCTCCCACCCTGCAGTTCCCAGTGGGAGCCCTAGACTCTCATCCCCTGTCCCCCAGGACATAGAGCCTGTTTTGTTCCATGTTCCATTCCTAAACCCTGTGGTGATACAGATTACATGCTGGCAATATCTGTTGAATGAATGAATGCATGGGCTAGAAAACCAGTGCCCTGGGATTTGGGCCTGGGGATGAGCCTCTGCCTGGGACAACTTTGCCTGCACATTATTTTTTCCAGGATGTGAGGTTCAGGGTTCTTGTAGGCAAAAATCCTGTTGCAGACAGTGGCTGGGCCTCCATAAACGGGCAATCTCAACGATAGCTTGGTAAGGAGTAGGGCACACAGTAGAAGGACCACCCAGAGCAAAGCCATAGAGTTGGAGACAGGCATAGCCCTGCCTCACACAACATAACAGAGTTATGTTAGCAGATTTGGGGGAAGCATATCGCAGTAAGTTCAGGTACTATGAGCAGTCTAAAAAGGGGAGACTGCCTGAACCAAACACTGCAGAGTCTATGACAGTGGTAGAGATAGCTATCCCCCAATATCCACTTGCACCTCCTTGTGAAAATACTTCAATTTTCAACCGGGGTCAAAGTCTCAATTGACCTACAAAGTCCCTACTAGCTAGGTCAAATCCAGCTATAGAAGCTTAATTTTCCAGCCTCGTGTGTGTGTGTGTGTGTGTGTGTGTGTGTGTGTGTGTGTGTCTGTGTTCAGTTTCATGTGTCCAAATATAATGGCATTTATAAGAAAATTTCATTCCACTTCCTGTTCTGCCCTCACAAGCCTGGA